CCTTATCCTCATTGGACCTCATGTTGTTTGCTTTGTATATGTTTGTTATTGCACCGAGTGACATGAGAAAACGCCTGATCAGACATCTACTATCTGATCCAACCGGGGCAACCATGATCAAAACTTATCTCATTCTATAAATCATATCAAATGGAGCGCAGAGTAGTTTCTTAACTATCCTCAATATTATGTATTTTGTTCATCTTCTTATAACGTAGAAATAGACTAGAAAATACGTCTAGGGCAGTTTATGTACAGAACTTTTGACTGGGTAATTGCACCATGTGATAATTCAGCTCATAGACTTTCAAAAGTCCAGAACCCCCCCTTCCTGTGCATCATTGATTAGTGATAGCGAGGAAAGTAACTGGATCTGATTGTTTTGTGAGGCTATGGTTTGTTTATTAATTAATCAGTACAAGTCAGCTGCAACTTTAAACCTTGTTATTTCACTCAAGTAGGTCATATTGGTCAGTTGGTCACTGAGATGGTGTACACTGGTTCAGTCTGGTCCCAGTCCCGACCTCGTTTTTTTTGTGTATTAGAACACCATTGGGAAGCATTTTTAAAAGGGGTGGGGTCCATTTAAAAGATGAAAAAGGATGGACGGGTGCGCTCATAATCGAAAATGAGTTGTGCTAGGTGTACACATTTTGGTGTACACTTTTCGTACACTCGTCTGTCGCACGCACACAGAGTTGTCTGATCACATATAAGAGTAAGATAACAGATAACTCTGTGTGCGTGAGACACACGAGTGTACGAAAGTCTGTTGTCCGTGGACAGACAACTCTATGTGCGTTAGGGATGGACTCGGGCCGGGCGGCCCAACCCGGAACCGGCCCGGTCACTGTTTGAACCGGCCCGGCCCGGCCCGGCGGCCTGGCCCATGGGCGGTTCGGGTCGACCCGGCCCGGTGGCTACCGGTTCCGGGCCCGGGCCTTCATTTTGGTGAACCGGCCCGGCCGGTTCGGGCCCGGTCCGGACTGGATTAAATTTTTTTTTTTGAATTTTTTTTAAGTTTTTGGGTTGGATTGGTTATTTTGGGCCATTTGGGGTGGTTTGGGGTTGAGGGGGAGGGTAGGGGGTTGATTAGGAAAACCCAAAAAAAAAAATATAGAACCGGAATCGGGCCCGGCCCGGCCCGAACCGGACCCGGGGTTACCCGGGCCGGTTCCGGGCCTCCCCTACCTTGAACCGAGGCCCGGCCGGTTCAAGTCCCGAACCGGGCCCGGCCCGGAACCGGTCCACCCATAATGTGCGTGAGATAGATGAGTGCACGAAAGGTGTACACCAAAATGTACGGAGTATACACCAAACATTTTTTCATCGAAAATATAGGTTCCGGTTCAGGGCTCATTAAGTAGTGTCATCTGATTTGGAATTTGTAGTATCCCGTAATTTAAGTCTCGTAATTTTACATTGTAGAGTTCAATCCTTTCCAATTTGTGTCTCAGACTCGGTAATTTTACAAGTTCAGTTTCATAACCCAAACAAGTAATTTCCAGTCTTCTGAATGAAGCATTAACCGGTTTGGAATTCCAGGAACTCCAGAATGGGAATAGTAGAATTTTGGGTGAGTCTTACTTAACAAAAACTGAAGCGGAGACCTGATTACCTGAACAGACTAATCAAATCGTTAATCTGGATCAGATTAAATCTAAATAAACTAGACTGTACTAAAAGGAATTATAAACAAATTGGACTAAACATACTAATAGAAACACATGATATAGAAAACATCAAACAGTAATCCTACTAGCTATATTACTAACCCTGATAAAGAGCATAACTCTCGTGATAATAGGCAGGTTTATTGATGGACGAAATCAAGTAGTCCCAAAGAAAATAAGAGTATATATACATGCATATTGCATAAAGGAGTAATTCCAAATGTTTGCATACAAGAAAAAAATGAAAAATCAATTATTTGGAATGGAATTTTTAGAAAACTCCTTAGAGGCTTAGATCCGTTTTGCCCAGAGGGAAATGGAAGCGGATGCAATAAATCGTGACCATTTCCAGAAATTCCAGATGCCTAAAATTAACATATTCATCGCAGCCTCTTCATAGTTCTTAGCAATAATAACACTTCGTACAATCGTACTAATAAGTAATAACCATTCGTAAATTATATGGTACGGCCGGCTGTACCGTGCGCACGGTACAGCCGGACTTTTAGTTCGTGAATTGCAGGCTTCTATCGCAGGCTTCCGTCATCGCATGGCTTCCATCGCAGGCTTCCGTCATCGCAGGGCTTCCATCATCGCAGGGCTTCCGTCATCGCATGCTTCCATGGCCGATCATCCTTGCTCCGTTGCTCGCAGCCTACTAGCACCTCTCCCTTTTTCGACAACCGCAACTCTTCAGCAGCTCTCCTTCAGCTTCGTCCTTAACTTCGCACGCTCTGTTCCTTTATTTTTCTTTTTCTATTTTTCTCACACTGATTATTTTAGTTTGGTGGTTTTGGGGTCAGGGATAACCTAGGTTGTACATAATTCTAAAGATATGAGCATACACAAATAAAAGTTTGAGCATGGTGGTAATTTTAAATAAGCCTAAAAGAAATGAGTATACGCCTAAAAGAAATGAACTCACACAAACTAATATTAAACAGATTGAAAATGAGTTTCATGTAAAATTGAAATGAGTATAACACCCAAAATGAATGAGCATACTCAAATGAGTTTTTTGAACGCTCATTTCGTAATTTATGTATACTCATTTGATATTAGTACAATACTCTTTTTAAAATGTCATATTCATGCATATTTCAAAATGAGTTTTAAGTTAAATTCAAATGAGTATTATGCCCAAAATGAATGAACACACAAAAATGAGTTTTTAATATTTTGACACTCATTTTGTAAATTATGTATGCTCATTTGGTATTGTTTTATGCTCATTTTAAAATGATGCACATATCAAATATACGCCCAAAATCAATGAGCATACACAAATAAAGTTTTGAATTTTTTTATACTCATTTTATAAATTATGTATGCTCATTTGGTACTGTTTTATGCTCATTTTAAAATGATGCACATATCAAACATATCATACTACATTAGATTCACATATTGAAATTAATTATAAACATAATTTAAGATTTTTAATTTTTATAAATGAAAAAATCATAAAAAGAAACCGAATTAGAAAATATGAAGCAGAGATCAATGGTGCTCATTGTTAGGCTTTTAATACTCAGAAGAACAGGTTCGATGCTCAGCAAAATTACATCAATGCTCATTTACGAGAAACCACGAAATTCATGAAAATTACAAAACTGCCACCGGCTGTACGGTGCCAGCCGTACAGCCGGCTGTATGGTATACGCTTCCATAACCATTTACATACTAATCTACTTTGATAAAGTTGTGCTTTTAAAGAAATATGATTTGTGTTTCGATAGCAACACTCCAAGGTCACAGGTTCGAAACTCATCCCAATCAAGGATGTTGACATTTAACAATGAAATATTGAACATATACTATAAAGAGGGACTACAAAGTCTAGCAAAAAAATATGATTTAGTGTCATGTTTTTTTAAATTACTCTGTATTTTTTGGGTTGGAATTATTATTTTCTTAGTAACTAAATGAATTGAATATTTTAAAGTTAATTTCGTTTTCAAGTGAAGTGAAAGTAGGGTAGGAGGGCATATATGAAAAATTTTCTCTTAAATCTATTTTTTCTGAATGCTTACTTCCAACTTCCAGTGAAACAAGATATAATGAATACATTATTCTTAGTGAAACGAAAAAGTGGCACTAAATTGTAAGTACCAATAATGTGCAAACATATGTCTTCATCATGCATACTAAAGAGATTGCATGCTAAAGAGATATTTGTAATTGGATTCTTCCCGCATTATGTTCCAAAATCAATAGCGGAAGTGTTTCTATGCATTTTTGGAGGTGGATTTTGTTGAATTCCCACACCGGAAACGTGTGAAGGAACTAAATGCTATGTTAAGATCAAGTCAACTCCTCCTGACATGTTGACCTTTTAGGATGAAACCTCATGTTTTAACATGGTATCAGAGCCAAACCGATCCATGGTGTGAGTCCCCTTATGAAATATTATGACATGATTATAAAAAATGACAATAACGAATTGATGAAAAAATGAATGACGACACGATCCAGACGAAGTGTCTTGTCGTGATGAGGGGTGTTGAATTCCCACACCTTAGTGTGAAGGAACTAAATGCTATATTAAGATCCGGACTACTCCTCATAACAGGTTGACCTTTTAGGATGAAACCTCATGTCTTAACACATTTTGGTTTGTTAATTGGTGATTTATATGATTCTTGCTTCTATTTCTTATCATACTTCATTCTTTATTTGTTCACAAACACTGGAAGCTTGGAATATATAGGTTTGTGCTTCATTAAGCAAACGAATGCCAAATAATGTAATTATTGTTTTTAAGTACTATGTGAGTAATCCAAATAAATTTTTAGCAATATAATTTCATCTTTATGTTAAATTCATCGGTAAAAAGGACTTTAATCATTGATACTTTGATAGAGTAATACTTTGAACTGAGTGTTTTATGATTTTAGATTCAATAGTATGAGTTTGGTGTTTCAACTGCTAGTTGTATGATGGGCAGTCCATAAGTTTTTACATCATTTTCTAAAATTTGATACATAACATACAAGAAATTTCTCTTTATAATGTGTGATATTACACAAAACATTTTTATTTATACAGTGACTGTTTTTTGTTCCAACGTAATATATTTTGGTTTGTTCGGCTTAGCTGTTTTCGTTGAACTTTTGGAACAAGTTTTTGATAGATTCTTAATAGTTTGAAGAAGATGAGCATTGAGTCAATTAATTTTACCACCTGTGTACCTAATACAGAAAAATATTCTAGAGTTTTGTCTTATGTTTTCTTCTCACTAATGTGCCATCAAATTTTTTTTTAAAACAAACAACTTAATTATTATTAGTAACGGAAGCATTATAATCATGCTACACTAGAGTGAGACAGAGAACAAAAAATAGTTATAAAGACGATCATGATCGCTAACCCTGCAACGATGTAGACAAGTATCACAGTGTCACTGCTCATACTACTCAAAATGGACCCGGTTTGACTAGCCACTGAAAAAGAACTATTGAATTTCTCGATTTTGACAGCCACCGGTAAGGAGCCAAGTGCAAAATCCGTTCCAGTTTCACTAGCCACCAGAAAGCAATCCATGCAATCCAGATTCAGGAGGGGGACGATCGACCTCAATAGTGATGCAGGAGAAATCCAGATTCATGATTGATGAAGAAGTTGCTAAAAATCTTTTATTATCACTCAAGAACATCCGACCGATGATGGTAAAAAATATACATCTGGCAATCGACAATTCACCATCGAAAATAACATCTCTAGACAATGTTAGAAAGTAAACATATAGATAGAATTGAAAGTAGTGATTAAATGAATTTTTTTTCATCATCGGAGCCAAAAGAATTGAAGGAAGAGAAGAAAAGAAGAGGAGACTAGGGTTTCCCCTCCGCTCCTACCACACGCAGAAGTTTTTTTTTCCAATACTAACCAATTTCAATTTTTTAAAAATAATTTTAAAAAATATTGATTTTTTGTGTGAAATAAAAATAAAATTGGAATTAAAAATTTTCAAGTTTTACTCATAGACAAAAATAAATGAATTTAAAAGTTACTCCCTCCGTTCCGCTAGAATGTTTCCGTAAACGGTTTACGATGTTTGACTGATGATAAAACAACTTAATCCCTATTCACCCTCTAATTATTTTTAGTAAATAAAATTTGCATATTAAGAAACTACATTAAAACCGCTACAAAACCTGATAAAACATGTAAATTTGATTTTAAAAAATTGATATAAAAAATAAATGATTAAAAATGATTTAAGTTGGCCATGTGAATAGTGGACGAGAATCTTTTTGAAAGCACAACAATTATAATTGCACCCCAAACCTCATGACTCATGTAACGCGCCAGTGAAAATCAGTTTAAAGAAGGATAAAAGTTTAAGAAGGATAAAGTATAAATAGAAGAAGACATATTGAAGTATACTTAGCCGTTTTTGTTTTACAGGTTATGCACTGTGTTTTGAAGGTACACAAAATACTCCGTATAGCAACCGCGGTGCTTCGTGGTCTTAGTTCCTCTGCAAATAGTATCTTGCACTTCATAAAACATGAATCTTTTCCGACTTGTAGATAGATATTTGATGTGAATGTTATTATGTTGATGTCAAGATTTAAATGCAGTTTCCCAAGCTTAAAGCTTACAGAGGTCGGGCCATCCAGGCATCTGTTTTCTTCAATCACAGAAGTAGGTTCTTCCTTTCAAAGCTCCCATTCCTTTTCTTTTGCAAAAATGCCCGATACGCGTACGGTTGATACAACTGAAGGATCAAATACGTTATCTGATGCATTGATTGGGAAGCTTGCTGCATACTGCAACCAGAGGGATCTCCCGAGAGCCATGAATGCCCTTTATGAGATGGAGAAACACAAGATATGGGCCAATGCTATCATTTATTCCGAGCTTATAAAATGCTGTGTCGCCCAACACGCTGTAGAACACGGCAAACACGTTCACAGGCACGTTTTTTCCAATGGATATCAGCCGAAGACCTTCTTACTCAACATACTCCTGAACATGTATGTGAAATTCAACATGTTGGGTGAAGCACAGGCTCTGTTCGACAAAATGCCAGAGAGAAATGTCGTTGCTTGGACTACAATCATATCGGCGTACTCTACTTCCAACCTCAATTCCCAGGCTTTCAAGCTGTTGATCCTCATGCTAAGGAATGGAGTCCAACCCAATATGTATACTTACTCCTCTGTTCTCAGATCATGCGATTCCATCTCTAACCTCACGCCTCTCCAATGCAGTATCGTTAAGGTGGGGTTGGACTCTGATGTCTTTGTCCGCAGTGCTCTTATTGACGTCTACGCCAAAATCGGCCAACCAGAGAGTGCACTTGTCGTCTTCAATGAAATGCAAACACACGATCGGGTGGTTTGGAACTCTATAATAGGAGGATTTGCTCAAAACAGTGACGGGTATGAAGCCTTGACTCTCTACATGAGAATGAAACGAGCTGGTTTTCCAGCTGACCAGTCAACCCTAACCAGTGGTCTTAGAGCATGTACCAGTTTGGCGCTTTTAGAGGTCGGCAGGCAATTCCACGTTCAGGTTTTCAAGTTCCACCAAGACATGATACTTCATAATGCACTTCTTGACATGTATTGTAAGTGTGGCAGCGTGGATGATGCTAACCGTACTTTTACTAGGATGGTGGAGAAGGACGTCATCTCTTGGAGCACAATGATTATGGGGTTAGCCTCAAATGGTTTTAGCAAAAAAGCACTTGATCTATTTCAGGAAATGAAGAGGTCTAGGGGGATGGTACCAAATCGTGTAACCGTCCTTGGGGTTCTATTTGCTTGCAGCCATGCCGGAATGGTAGAAGATGGGCAGTATTACTTCCGCTCAATGAAGAAGCTTTTCGGAGTTGATCCAGGAAGAGAACACTATGGTTGCATGGTTGATCTTCTGGGAAGAGCTGGTAAACTAGAGGAAGCCGTGGAGTTAATTCATGAAATGGAATGTGAACCGGATACTGTGATATGGAGAACGTTGCTTGGTGCTTGCAGGTTACATCGAAACATGGATTTGGCTGAATATGCTGTGAAACAAATAATTAACATAGACCCTTCTGATGCCGGGACCTACATACTGCTTTCTAATATCTATGCACGGACACAAAAGTGGGAAGAGGCTTCAAAGGTGAGAAGAGACATGAGGAGCCAAGGAGTGAAGAAAGAACCGGGATGTAGTTGGATTGAAGTGAATAAGCAGATTCACGCCTTCATTATGGGAGACAAGTCACACCCACAGATAAATAACATTGAAGAAGAGCTTAATCAGATAATTCAGAGATTGAAAGAAACAGGTTATGTTCCTGATACCAACTTTGTCCTGCAAGATCTTGAAGGCGAACAGATGGAGGATTCACTTCTTTGTCACAGTGAAAAGCTTGCAATCGCGTTTGGCTTAATGAGCTTGCCGAAAGAAAAGACAATCAGAATCAGAAAGAACCTCAGGATTTGTGGAGACTGTCATTTATTTGCAAAGCTATTGACGAAGTTGGAGAATCGAACCATTGTCATCAGAGATCCAATCCGCTACCATCATTTTCAGGACGGCGTTTGTTCTTGCAGTGACTACTGGTAGCAGAGAGTGTCTGGCTAGAAGGTAGCTACCTGAACTGATGGTTCATTTTTCTTGAAGCCATTTATGGGTCTGTTTGCATGCAGGGTTACAGATGGGCTTAATTTATATTTTGATATTCATATATGAACTTTTATAAAAACTGAAAGATTTAACATAATATACAATGACATATCATTTTAATAAGATATATTTTAAGCCATCTGAAATCTTCTCCCCTAACTCCATCCAAACAGACCCTTGGCAAAAAGGAAGTGTATCTTCTTGCGGATCTGCTATTGAACATCTTCGAATGCTCTAAATGAAGATTGGATGGGTGATACCTCTGTTACTAGCCTAGCTAAAAAGCATTACTTTCGTGTATTTACGTTCTTCAATTCACATCCACTTGATTTCTATAAATGCCTCAAGGGCACAGAACTGGGATGATTCTGCCCTACAAAAAGAATGACTAAGGAGAGTTGTGTCTGAAGAAGGAAGAATCATCCAGAAGCTAAGCAAGTGATGACCGGGATGAAGCAGAAGGAATCAGATAACAAACTCTGAGCATTTTGGAGTTTTAGGGGGCAAAAAATAATCGAAGTACATCCCATTTGATGCATAAGGTGGGGCTGAATGCTTTTCCGGGTCTAAGGTAAGCTGAAGGGGGTTAGAGGTAGTTGGAAAGCTTGATCTCAACTCTATTGCTATCATTGTTCAACTAGCTGTCTTATACTAATTCTCTAAAAGAAAAAAGAAATGGGATATGCTCAATGAGGTTTTGCCTGTATGGTTCCAAACAGCCGGTTCCGGGTAATGGGATGGATTGAACCCCCAATGTAACTGACTAAAGTACTAAACTGAGGTATCCTGTCTGACCTAGCCCGGTTTACCTGGGTTGTTCTGGTCCGGTTTTCTGGATGGTTTTGGGCGGTTAATCCGGTTATGAACCAGAAAACAAAACGCAAATAAGAAAAGAAGTATCAGAAGCAGAACTGGAACTATACATGGAACTATATTTGTATTTCGGTCCACTAAATGGAGGTGGGAGACAAAACGATGGAGGTTCAGTTGTCCAGATGTGCATATTTCCAGCTGAAGCTATTCCCAGATGTTCAATACAGAAAGGTGTTTACATTTGGCTTTTCGGTTTACATTCATGTACAACAAAGCTTAATGACGTTACTTGTGAAGAAGTATGAATGATCTGCAAATAGCACCAGACAAATTGGAGGTTATGCAAGGAAAAATCAGCTAAAACAGCGATCCCACTAGTTGAGCATTGGATGTCGAAGTAAGAGAGCTTGTTGTCCACCTCACCAACGAAAAGTACCAAACCACTGTTCTCTGCCCATTGAGTGTTTTTCATGTGTAATTTTTGAAGCCACTCAAACATTTCACACCCTCCCTCTTGGAGTGTTTGAAACTGCTTTTGCTTAAAATAAGCACTTTTGGAAGTGTTTTTGGAAAAACTTATTAGTTGTAAAAGTTAATAGTGTTTGAGAAAAAAGTGATTTTGAAAAGTAAAAGTTGATAGTGTTTGGTAAAATAAGTGTTTTTTGTGTAATACAAATAGTAAAAAGCACTTTTGAGCTAAAAGTCGAGAAGCGTTTTTTTAAGTAGAAGTGCAAACACTTTCTAAATACTGCCATGAGCAGCATGCCAATGCTCTGAGCCAGTCCTAGGATATGGCGACTATGGGATGCCACTACAATGATATAGCCCCAATATGTCAATTAGCCTTTTTTGCAAGTAATACTGTAATACTTTGTACATTGCACTACGTAGTTTTTATTGATCAGTAAATTTCTATTAATGATTTTGAATTGAGTTTTTGTGTATTCATCTTGAAGACTTGAAGTAGTGCAACTAGATTTGTTATCTACTCCATATGTTATCGTACATTCTTACATGGTGAGGCTGCTGATAGCAAATACCCTATCATTAAATTCATGAGAAAATAAGCTCTAGGAAAAATAAAATATTTCGAGCAAGGTTTACGTGCCATTGAGAGTTATATATGTAGGGGAATGTTTCCCGCTGTTTGCAATGAAACAGTTTTGCATCACCAAACATGAAAATCAATTCCACAGCTTTTGAATTTTATAAATAGTGATAAAAAAATTATTGTTAAGGAAACACATAGCAGCCTAGCAGTTGTTTGCCGTTCTCCATTCCATAAGATGCAAAATAATACTAGTACGATAGTAAATACTACTCCGTACTATCTATACATGCGAATGTAAGAAATCAAAAAATACATCATTTAATTTGATTACTCCCTCCGTCCCCTTTTAAATGGGACGAGAGATGGTGGCACGAGTTTTAAGAAAAGTGAGTTTGTGTGGTTGATATTAATTGATAAAGTAAGAATAAAGTAAGAATGATTTTGAGCCACACAAAGTTTACCAAATAAGGTATGGGGCAATTAAATAGGGACATCCCAATATGGTAAAACGGGACATTTAAAAGGGAACGGAGGGAGTATTTAACATGAAACAAGTATTCAATTCACACTGTCCTAAGTAAATCATTTTGGGTGTAGTTATATTTGATAGGATTTAATACAAATGAAATGTAACAAGTAATTTAAAAAAATCAACCCCAAATAATTTATTTTTTTACTTACATATTGAATAATTTCATATAAGCTAAAAGCCTATAAGACCATTTATGGGAGTACATCTGACAACCCGTTCTCCTTCACTGCCACAAACGCCTCCCCTAACTTCCAAAGGTTTGGAAACCCCCACCTGTCCACTGCCACTGAAATCAGTTTTCACTAATTGTCATAAATGAAGCAACATAAGCATAAATCATTTCTAACCTCTCTATTCGAAAAAGGGAACAAAAGCAGGCAACTCAAATTAGTAAACCTGAACCCTCTGCACCTCATGCCCTTTACAGGCCATCACATGCATGCATATTAAGATATACTCGATCCATCCCTTAAAACTTTGCCAAATTTGATCGGCACGGAAAATAATAAAGTAAAAATTGTGTGGTTGAGATTTGTGCAAATGAGAGAATAACATGAACCACAAATTAGTTGATTAAAAGGGAACGTGACAAAGTTTTGGGGACATCTCATAAAGGAAAGTTTCAAGGGACAGAGAGACTGAGGGACAGAGGGAGTATGATACTGATGTTGAAGCTTATTTATACAATAAATTTATAAGATTTTTTTTTTTGAAGAAAGAACCAACCTTATTTTCACATATAAGCAAGAATACATTGTCACAGAATATATGTCAGTATAGATTCACAACACAATCACAACCTGCCATGGCTATAAGAAACATATTCTGATCCTTGACTTAACTGTTGAGTTATAAGCTTTGGTTATTCTAGGCAATCATGGACTAACATGAACAACACATGGATGGGGAGCAACCACTCTAAGAAACTCGTTAACTCTTTTATGTGAAAGTTTATGCAGCAAAGCCTGTGTGAAGATGGAGCATAGATTATGAAATACCAGAAGAATTGATAGCATGGCATGCTTCAGGCAGCAGTTGAAGAAACAATTAGAGTTGTGCTCGAGTCCAAACATAGACTGTTTAATTAGGACTTGCGTGTTAATTGTGCTTGCTTCAGTTTCTACTACAATTCAACACAAAATGCACACATATATGATGGAATAATAAATAAGCATAGAGAAGTTTCCAAAAAAAATCGGGATTGCTAGGCCATATAAACATGTGCCGTCATCGCCTAGACCCATCAAATCAATCCAAGCAATACCAAGGCACCCTTTTTCTTATGATTAACATCATAGCATACACTTATTTTCCTTTTCCGAAATCTTTGAAGGCAGTTAGGAGAAGATCAATGCCCAAAGACAATACAAGAATCAGTGTGTCATAGAAACATAAGGAATTGTCCCAATAAAGCCTGCAGGACATAAACAGATTTGATCCTCTAAATCATGGGAATATTACAAGAATCTATAGAAGCCCCAAAGTGCAGTTTGGTAGACCAAAATGTGATGATTACTCCATCAGCCTCCTTTAATGTTCACACTTTCTTTTTACTACTTCATTTCTAAACAAATCTCAACCACAAATATTATTTGGTGTAAATTTACGTTTACATTAAACACATAGATGTGGTTTCACTCTGTATTAGTGTATGAGGCTCAGAGTACAAGTTTTCTATCAAATTACCAACACAAGCACAACCTGCCATGGCTGCAAAGGAAATTGCCGTGCCAAGATACAGGTGGCCTGAAAGACTTGCTTCTTTTTATCACCCAAAAAAAAATGATCATCACTGCCTCAAATGTGAAGAATCTGGTATCAGGCATACAGTTTTCCCAGACATTCAATATAACTAATGTAGTCCCTTTGTCTGAAAAGAACCAATATATTGCATTTATGCGATCTAATATCAGTAGACATTCAAAAAAACAGGGCTGACAGAAAATTTGTTTAGTAGTGCATCAGATATGGAATTGTTACCGTAGATGCAAAAATTTATTATTGATAAAAATATGAAGTGAAAACTTTGTTTCATATTTGATACTTAAATTTTGTTTGAAAATATATGATAAGGTTTGAAGTTGAAGCAATGAAGACTGAAATGTCATAGTATCATGTCATTGTAATCAAATACTCCGTATAATTACTCCCCCCGTCCTGCTATGATTGTCTCATACCAAATTTGGTAATGTTTGTATGACTCTAAATGGTTCATACTTTATTCTCATTTTATCAATTCAATATCAACCACATAATCTCACTTTTCTAGGTAGCCGCACTGCCTCTTCTTATACCAATGTTCTCTTTGTCAAGAAAGAGAAGAAGATATTCGATCTCATTGCTTCTTAATACATGAGGCTCAGAATACATTTTGTCTTTCAGAATAGCACAACCTGCCATGGCTGCAAGTAAACAATTGCCACGCCAAGAAACAGGTTGCTAAAGCATCTGATTTTATTTTCTTATAACAAAAATTATCATCATCGACTCATGTTTGAATAATATGGTATAAGGCCTTCTGGCTATCCCAGAAATTAAATATAGGGGGTGTTTAGAACTGATTCTACTTCTTTTTTAAAGAAGAAACAGAATCAGAATATGTTTAGAAGTTGGTCCCCAACTCCTAAAAAACTGCTTCTAGGAGTAAATTACTTCCACCCAGAAGCAATTTTAAGAATCAGATCCAAACACACAATAATATACTACCTCCGTCTCAGAATAAAGAATGATCATCGTTACATGACCATATAGGGCTGTTGAATTATAAGATCACAGTGTTTAGGGCAAATTGGTGAAATCATAGGCTGTATTGAATAACACATGGAAGGGGAGCAACCGCCCTTTAGAACTCATTAACCCTTCTATGTGTACCCAAAAAGCCTCAATCTTTGATACCACCAAATCCATGGAATGTAGGATGAAGTACTTACAAAACTGCAATCCAGACATAAATACAGCATCAACATCAGGAGTACATGACCGGTGATAAATGATCGACAATGGAAGCTCAGACAAAGCTTAATAATAAGCAAAGAGAAACATCTGACACAGTCATGGCTGCAAACACACAAAACACGTGAGAAATTCAATCTGGTAAGTGTGTTGCCCCGCCAAGATACGGGTCGGGTAACCCTAATGCCGATTAATCGGCTCAAGAGAATGAATTATCATCATCGCCCCTCTATAAACAAACCGACCGCTGCCGCCGGCATGACGCTGATGTGCGCCAAAGAACTTCGATATATGTTTGTGTGTGTGTGAAATATGAAATATATATATATACATATATGTACGTATAAAAACGTTGTTCTCTACGAGAAACGGAGGGCTGTTGATTACAAATTGTTTTGGTCGCGGAAAATCAATGGCTAGCAGAGAGAGGCAACCACCCTCAAAGAAATCCCAATCTCAAATCTGCAGCCTCCTCATTCTTTCTTCTCAGCTCTTTACGCAGTTGTCGACGTTAGTCAGTGTTCTATTTTATACTGCTCGTATAAAATTTAGGGAAAACTGTCAAATAAAATAGGTCCTCGAACTTTCATAAAAAGATCAATTAAGTCCTTCTATAGGAGGTTCTGTTCGGCCGTCGCTATTTGGGGCATTTCCCGGTGGAATTTTTTGATGAAATTTTTTGAGCATCTTATTCACCAAGTCTAGTTTACTCATACCAAATTTTAGCTAAAAATTCAATCGGGAACACATTCAAATTAATTCTTGAAGATAACTGTGCATTTTTGCGTTCTCGAATTAATTTGAATGCGCTCCCGATTAAACTTTTAGTTGAAATTTGGTATGAGTAAACTAGACTTGATGAATAAGATGCTCAAAAAATTTCATTAAAAAATTCCACCGGGAACCGCCCCAAATCGCGACGATCGGACAGAGTCTCCTATAGAAGGACTTAATTGACTTTTTTATGAAAGTTTGAGGACCTATTTGACAGTTTTCCCTAAAATTTAGGTCTGTTTGTTTCTTAGAGGGAAGTTGGAGCAAAAAGTACACTATATTGTATTTTATCCTCTAAAAAAAAGAATTGTATTTGAACTTTGGCAAAATTCATGAGAATAATCCATACTTTTAGGGATTGTATAATAATAATTCCTACTGAGATTGTCTACAAAAATAATCCGAATTAGCAATATTGTTCATAAGAATAAATTGGGTGAATTGAAATTAATGTCCGTCTAATACTTCCAACACTTACTCTCACTTTTTTCTTCCCAAGACGAAGAGTGATGAATGAGAAAGTGGAAGTAGGGGTTGAAAATATTAAATGAGCATTAGTTTGAATTAATTTTAATTTATTCTTATGGACACTATTGATAGTACGAATTATATTTATAGACACTCTAAGTATAAATTGTTATCGTAGAATCCATAAACGTATGGATTATTCTTGTGGATTTCACCTTGATCTTTTTAAGTATTGAAATTCGGATTTTTAGTGTTTATCGAGTACATCCGTTTGATTAAGGATATTTTTACTTGAACTGTAATTTGTCCCAGATCAGACTTGGATAGTTATAAAAATACAAAGAAACCAGAGCAGACCAGATCAGACTAGACCAGAACAACAAATCACAGTCCAAGTAAAAACATCCTAACACGTTAATACAACTGAGTTGGCTAACGAAATGTTGAGTAAGAAGGCGTAATGGACCAAGGTTATGACGAAGTCGACCAAAAAGGAAAAACCGACCTAAAACCCGACAACCGAACTGACCCAATCCGATATACTACATTGATTCATGTTTTATTTTAAAAATGACCAGTCCGGGTTTAAATTCCCGACCCGAACCCAAAAAACTTGGGTCCTAATTCGGGTTCTAAAATTTTAAGCCTGACCCGGACCAAATAACCCGATTTAATTAAGAAACTTATATATATATATATATATATATATATATATATATATATATATATATATATATATATATATATATATATATATATAATACGTATGACCTATTAATAAATCATACCAATTTTTTATATACAATACAAATGGACTATTTTATACTACTTCCGTCCGAGATTGATTCACAAAATTGACTTTTTTAGGTCAAACAATTTCCTTTTATTCACTTAATCAGGATGTCAATCTTTAATTATATTTAATTTGGAGTTTGAAACTTTGAAGAGATTTTGATTTAGTTTTTGAATATGTAAATTTTAATTATTAAAAATTGACTTTGTAAATCAATTTGCGATGGAGGGAGTATTACTTTGTTTTCAAACCAACTGTTCTTCTACAACATTTTCTATCATACTAGTATGATTTTTAGATTCAAAATAAACGGCTTTAGTTTTAATATACTACGCAGTTTTTTTATTAAAAGATTAGATATTTGCAAATTTTGTTGTGATTGTATTTCAATTGTTTTTAGATATCTCAATTCGATTTTTTTCCCGGGTTCAATCAAACCCGAACCCAACTCGAACCCGAAGCTCTTAAAACCCGGACCAACCCGAAAATATTGGTCCTTCTATCCGGCCCAAAAATGTATAACCTGAAGCTTTTGGGGGGGTTTAAGGATCCCTGCTATAACCCGACCCAACCCGACAGGATATCACCACGTGAGCTCTATCGCCGCACCTCGTCGGAGCGCCGAAATAGCTTATCTGCTCCATCTTCTTCTAACCAACGAAGGAGTCGAGGTAAGCTCTCTCTGTCTGTGGCTTCCAGTTTTCCTCTGCTTAGTATCATAGTTTCTCACCTTTCTCTTTTTTTATTTTTTTAACCTAATCTTTTTAAGGGGGTGTTTGGAACTGATTCTGCTTCTGCTTCTTTTTTAAAGCAGAAGTAGAATCAGAATCAGTTTTCAGAAGCTGGTACCCCCAGCTTCTAAAAAATTGATTCTGAGAGTAAATTAGAGCACCAAAAGTGCTTCTGGAATTTCACCCAAACACTCCAGCTTATGCTTCTGTTCCCTGAAAGAGCAGGATCAGTTTTGAGAATCAGATCCAAACACCCCCTAAATGTAGTAAATTTATAGCCCAATTTTCTGAAAGACTGAGATTACCTAATTTATATTGTGTGTGAGAGTTCATATGAGCACTGGGAAAACATTAAAAATTGGGACCACTCTAAGGAAGAGTAAGGGAGAAGGGTATTCGGTAGATTTTAAGTATGAAAAGCTGCCGAGTTTCTGTTTTTGTTGCGGTGTGATTGGACATGCAGAGAAGTTTTGTCCCTTACTGTATGAAAAAGTGGGGCAAGCTATGACTAGACCTTCTGGACCGTGGCTTAGAGCGAGTGGAAGGAAATCGAAGCAAATCATGGGTAGCTGATTTCGGAAGGGAGCTCCTCTGGTGGTGGCACATACTCGTCAAATATTGTGAGGGCTGTGCAGGACGCGGACCAGGAAGAGACAAAAGGGAGGACCAAAGCTGGAACAGGGAATGCTAAGCCCTCGGATGGGACAAAAGAGGAAGGAGTGCCAGGAGAGCTAAAGAGGAGAAGATTGTGGGCGGATCAGGCCAGGGAGGATACTGCTCAGGATGCTATGGCGCTGGATCCCCCAAAAAACGGGGAAGGGGCGGGTGCTGGTCTCCAGCCCCGCCAGATGATCTGATGCTGATTACGGCTCTTTTAGCCGAGAGACTTATTTTTTTCTTCATTTTGCTTTATTTATTTCCCACGTTTTGGATGTTGTTTTTGCTGTGGTTGTGCTGTGTTTTTCCACCAAAAAAACTAGTGAATCTTAAACTGGAGACGATGAGTCGTGTCTGCAAGTCGTTGGCTCAGGAAAGCCCAAAGCGGGATCAACGAATTATATGGCTTCTACGGAGGTGATTAATTCAGAGTCTGGTCCTTGGGCGGACGGTAGACAAGGGACTTGTTGTCACTTTGTAACCTGTTTTGGTTCAATCCGTTTGATCTGTTTGGTTATAATAAGTAAAGCCAGTTTCGTTAAAAAAACATGAAATTGCATGATATTTATTGTCTTTGTAATCTGATTTTTTTAAAACTGTATTATGATATTTAAAATTGCTTAATTTGTATAGTTGATGCGTTGTTTACTGTTTTATGACGATTTATATTCTTGTTTGCTTAAGTTGGGTGCTACGAGCTAGGGTTTGATGTCTTGATTACCGAAATTGTACTTTAATCTGTCAAATTAGTTACTCCGTATTAATTAATGTGTATTATTTAAATTGTATTCTTGTTTAACAAAATTGTGCTCTAATTTTGTGTTGATTTATTGTAGAATTATTCCATCCCACCAGATTATTGAGACTATTTTAATTTTAATGTAAATTGAACCATAGTTACATAAATCGCCAGCATACCTGCGACCTGATTTCCACATCGCACATTGTGGATCGTCGAACAAAAGCGCGCCGGATGCCTCTGGGTTGCGACTTTGGTACAACTATTTTCGACTGCAGTTCACGCCTATCTATGAGGCGGTATGCTGTCTCGCTTTCCGTTCACTCGTTTTCTCCATCGAACGACGACCCGACAGTCCAATCGACAATGCAGGGGTTGGCGAATTTGCACTTTGAAATGACGTTGCGCCGTTATTGCTTCAGCTAAATGATTTTTGTATTCCGTTTTATCTTTACTTTATTTAAGAAATAATTACATAAATATGATCAAAATAAAGATGGTTTACAAAAATATGATTCATTACTGGAGTAGTAATGAAATCATAGTAATTCATGTTCAAGTTTTGAACTTTAGTTACCACAGCACTACGTTGTAGTAATGAATAGTCATATTTATGTAAATAAGTTTTATTTTAGTAATATTCTCGTAAAAAACCCTTTATTTAATGTGCTCAGCGCCTCAGCACTAAGGCTTTGTTTGCAAGTGCTTGTGCAATAAAAGCACTTTTTTGGAAAAAGTGATTAGTAGTAAAAGTTGGTAGTGTTTGGTAAAATAAGTGCCTTTTGTGTAATAGAAAAAGTAAAAAGTAGATTCTACACGAAAACCGGGAAAGTAAAATTTGGTATTGTTTGGTAAAATAAGTGTTTTTTTCTTAGAAAAAAACCACAATCACTTAAATTAAGGGGTTGCAAAAAGAGCCTAATACCCTTCTCCTTTAGTAGTTCAGAGTCTCCCAGAAGTTCAGATGTCAGTATCTATTAAAAAATGGTATCCTATTCAAAGCATTTATTCTCATCCTAAAATATATTCAAACTATTATATTCAATATCCTAAAATGGTATGGAGTATTTGGCAAACACAAATTGATTGAGTAATGAAAAAATTACAGTCCTAATGCTACACCCGTTGCTACTGTCATACAAGAAGAGACATGCATTGGAATTCAAAATACTCAAAAACCAAGGAGCAAAGATGACCGGACCCTTGTACACAAAGTAAATATTCTCCGCGCACCTATTTCTCAAATTGCAAGGGTGTCAAAGTTTGGAGACCCTATCTATGGGGATCAGAATTCCTTATTTGGAATGATCATTCCATCCCGAAGCATTTATTGGATCAACGGTTGACTACGTCCCCACAA